CCTGCTACAAAATTCGCTGTTAGGGCTCTGGCAGAGACACTGAGGCTGGAACTCCTATCCATGAAGTCGAAAATCAAAATTACGGTAACAATCAATTTTTTAATAATTTTACCTCTATATTCTGCAATAGGAGCACGTGAATATACTGAGAGATGTCTTGAAGTAAACTTTAAAATTAAAATTTGATTTGTACAAAAAGAATGGCCAACAGAATCATCAGATCTCTGTTCCAGTAATTTATTTTACCTCTTGGACAAAAAAGTGTGCACAAAGCAACTAGAGTTTATAGCAATCATTTTTAGAAAATGTTTCAAAATTGAGAAAAAAAACCACAATAACAGAGGAAAAAATAAATACCTTTTCATCAAGATTTATGTAGGTAGTTTTGTAATTGTATATAATAATTTCATGAACCAAGAACTTAAAGAACTCAACGAATCAGCAATAGAGATACTAGGAGGTACTGTTACTAAAAATCTCAAAATTTCGATGCCACCGGACATGCAAAAAGAGCGAATTCCCCAGCGGCTTTTTCCTGACCCTGGAATAATTTATTTATAACCTTGTTTTGAACATCCTACTTTGTTAATTGTAAAGAGCAAGCTAATTTCAACTTTTTGAAATGTTTCTTTTTCAATACGTTTGTTTGGATCAATTACAATCTACAGGCTGTTACAAATTCGCTTCTCACTACAGGGATCTCGGAAACGGTAAGAGATATGAACTAGTTTAAATGGGGGCAAAGTTGCATAGTCCGGGGACCAATATTATGTCTCTAAACAATCAAGGCTAACATGATTAGTTTTCGAAATATTTGAAAAAAACCGACATTTTGGAAATCCGTTTTTATTTCATATAACCCTTGTTTGAGGTGATATTAAAAAAAGAACACTTTCTTATGGCAACTTTTTGCCCTCTATCGAATGGCATAATCAATTTTAAGCCTTCGTTACCTCCAGTACTGTACTGCCTCAGCCCGAACCAGATTCAATCGTTTTGTCTCGAAAAATTCATCTTCAGTGTATTCGCTCCAAATGTATCTTAATTTTGTATTTAGATTTCTATGTTTATTGAATTATCGTACAACTCTAACTGTCGTTAGACCCTGTGAAATCCACCTAGTTATTTAAACTAATACTATCACACATTACAATAAAACATTATTAAAGTTTTAATCTCCTGATCATACATAATTAGATGTATTATTACACTGACTCTTCGCATTGCACATTTTATTTACTAACTGAATGGATTTTGTCGTAGAATATTAGTCCCGGACTTGTGGACACTGAGATAATAACATCTGAGGCGAGACAAAACCCTGTATTTAAAACAATTATGGAGGAAAGATTGATTCTTGATTCGGAAGACATCGCAGATGGCGTGGTATACGCTTTATCCACACCACCTCACGTACAGGTAATGATATAAGGGTGTTCTGAAAATCCGTCAAGAAACTCCGGGAGGTGATTCTGCGAATTAAAATAATAGCAGTATGTAATGCAAACTTTTTTCGAATTGTCAATTGTTTGCAAGTTACAGCTTGTCAAAGTTCATTATTTTTCTATTTAAATAACTTATTTAATTCAAGTTCGATTAGTCTCTCATTTGGCACACCCTCTAAGTAGATGAAGCTCTATTGGACCAGTCAGAGAAAAGTTTCATTATGCACCGCTAAAGGGCACTTTACATAGAACTCAAAATTTGTTTTGTTCATAACTTTTTTCTCTTGCAAGACATCACAGACCTTTACCCATCATTGGAAAGAGAAACAATATCAGAAAATTACGTACTCTTTATTCAAACCGACAAATGTAACCGTTTATAGTCTGTTTAGAAATGAAAGAGAGTAATAAAAGCTTATTATGTATGCAAATCGTAAATAAATGTAGTACTGGTGCTTATATTCAATATTTTTATATTATGCACTTTCGGTGTACTTTTAACAAAACTTTGTGCGATCGGACTGTACTAAATTGTAGCCGGTAGCTAAAATTTAATCCCCGACAATCTTTGTCTATGCCGCTTCAATTTCTCGGTCCATTTCTCTTATAAGTAAACAATATAAAAACAGCATTTCAAAACATGAGGCTANAAGTTGACTGTTCCAGTAATTTTAAAGTTTATACAAAATGTCACACAAACTAACAACCCAAATTTCAATTCAGTTACACCGTTGAACAGATTGTTTTAAACTAGAAATAAAATTAAATATATATTTTTCAACAAGGTTCAGCTCCACTCTTTCCGTGAGATTAATTAATCGACCAGTCCGATAATTTTTATTTTTTTAATTGTACAAAAATTATTACACTGAATCTTCGCATTGCACATTTTATTTACTAACTGAATGGATTTTGTCGTAGAATATTAGCCCCGGACTTGTGGACACTGAGATAATAACATCTGAGGCGAGACAAAACCCTGTATTTAAAACAATTATGGAGGAAAGATTGATTCTTGATTCGGAAGACATCGCAGATGGCGTTGTATACGCTTTATCCACACCACCTCACGTACAGGTAATGATAAAGCTCTATTGGACCAGTCAGAGAAAAGTTTCATTATGCACCGCTAGAGGTCACTTTACCTAGAACTCAAAATTTGTTTTGTTCATAACCTTTTTCTCTTGCTAGACGTCACAGAAATTTACCCAATATTGAAAAGAGAAACAATATCAGAAAAAATTACGTACTCTTTATTCAAGCCGACAAATGTAACCGTTTAGCAAGAAATTATAAAAGTGTTATTAAACATCAAATTTTTTATCATTCTTTCTGCAATTAAATCGAGGTGCCATGCTGTAATACTATCTCTTGTAAAACCAGCTTCGTTAGTAAATAAAATATTATCAGTAAATTCATTATCCTCATCTTATTTTTCCACAATGCTATTACAGAACCTAAAAAAAAATATTATGGTGAAAAATCAAACTTATACGTGCTTTAATCATTTTTTTTACAATTCGTAAAACCAAAATTACTAATGATATTTTTTTAAGCTTGGCAACTTAATTAATTACAGAAAGAATGACTATCATAATAGCTAAGTTTTATAACAATGCCTTGAAAGATTGAAGTAATTGAAAAAATATAATGATTTATGAAAATCTGGCTCCAGATGTGTGATTAATGAAGGTGAGATCAACCAGCAATACTTATGATGCCAAATTTTACTGAAATCGGTGGATTTCAAAAAAGTACACCCGCCATATTGGATCAGCCATCTTGAATTTTTACAATGTGAATTCATATTCGTAATCAGCGACCCAAAAAACCCCTTTATACAAAATCTGGTCAAAATCCGCTCAGAATTTGAAAATAGCGATTCCTGCTCGGTTTTTTGAGGTTAGAAAAAAACCACACGTTCTAGCTCAATTCTGACAGTGGATTTGAATTCAGCAGAGTCTTTTACATAAAAATGTACTATTTGATGTGAAAAT